TACACACAGGACGATCCCCAGTCGTCGTTGAATTCCCATTTTTCCTAGCAATTGGTCCTTGTTAGGGGTGAACGTGAAAGAGGAGGGAGCCAAGGGTTTCAAAATTATAAGGAACTCGAGGAACCGTAACATATGTACATCTACCTCCGCAGCTCTCCACATGATGAAGTTCCCAGAGCTAAGCATAAAGGCAGGAAGGGAAGGGGGAGGTTTTAATTATGGATGACACCATGATTTAATACTTCGAGGGTGCCCTTGGCCCATCAATGCCAGTAGCCAGAAACGATCGGGTAAACGTCTGGTAATGTTGGGTCAAGTTTAGAAATCACACAATAAACAATCACAAAATAAATAGAAGAATTACGAAGGAAGACATCTGCCTACACTGGCGATAAATAAGAGCCTTATGGAAAGGAACGCAGGAAGCCGGGGGTGAGTTCAACGTCAACGTTGCTACTGCCTGGACAAACTGAGATGTACAGTTGCATTACGTGGCATAAAGACAGTCACCCATGTTTGAGCAGCTGATCGGGGGACGATGGGTTTGCCGTAGTTACATTTTGTATGTGACTTGTAGCACTTTTCAACCCTTTATGAACTGGATCCCTTTATGGGTGAAGCACTTCACAGAACATCGATTGTTAAACATACAGATGTCGTTTATCTGGGGCACGATAGGGACGAGGAGCGCTTTTCGGAACGTTCCTTGCATATCCTAGGTTCAGGTGCAAAATTACCAGAATAAGGCTATTTGAACGAGACAGCCCCAGGAATGTCGAAACATGATAGAATTACCTTCTAGGAACCGTAATTGTCACGATTTTCCCACTGCAATGCGGAGTTTTGCGTACCTTCCACACGTTTTTGTCGTACGTTTCATCAGAAACCAACAATTTATCAATAAATTTCTCAGTACTAATGCATGTGATATTTTTCATGCTCGAAAAATATACTCTTGGCTTTGAAATATGAAAATGCTAATTGAATTTGACAGAACGATCCTCCTCCATGTAGTTGTGCGGCTTACCTAGTTAGTGCATCACGAGTTAGAGACAGGGTGCGGGCTCAACCTCATTGGGGAAGTCCTCCCCGTGGGTAGGATGCTGGGTCTTCCTTTACAGTGGTCGCTCACTTTCGCATCTCTGAATCCACATCTGAATGCGTCACTAAGACGATAACCGCCCAGGACTTGGATCATCCGCCGCCCAAGAAGATCAGTGCCCGCCCACCAAATCGATATCTTGTCTGCGTCGTACTAGTGATCTGCTATGCTCTCTCGACTCGGACTTCTCTTTCCCCTCTGCGACTCACATTATCTCTCATCTCGCTGTCTGCCTTCTTGAACTTCTCCGCAGCGTAGAGCATGGAGCTTCCTATTTTCGGTGTTTTTGCCAAGCTTTTTTGTCCTTTTTTTCTCTTTCTGCGGTACAACTCGTATCCGTACTTTTATATTTGGATGAAATTACCACATAAATTTAATCCTGGTTACCTTTAAAGGCAAAGTTCGGTATCGAATTGATGTGTAATTGCTCTTCAAACTAACAGTAGTGAAGTGAAATGCCACGTCAGTGATGAGGAAAAAAACGGGAAAAAGACCTTTGACAGAGCCAAAAATAAGACCCTCTCTCCAGCAACAGCAAAGCTATGCACATCGATTTGTGGGCACGATTCGTGGTGATTGGCGGCGCCCATGGTGCATCATTGAGCCTTAGTGAGTCACCCTTGCGAAGGCGAGGGATCACAATAAAGTGGGTGTTCGTGCAGAACTGGAGTACAAGGTCTAGTAGAAGCAGTAGTCAGGGACCGGAGAAAGCGAGATGGGCCCTTCTCGCGGCTTCAGGTGCGCTAGTTGCATTGCCAATTAGAGGTCCTGCCTGTCTGCTTCGCTTGGTAAATTTTCTTGCGGCCGCGTTGCGGTACCAGCCACAAGAGCGATTTGCTGGCCGCGACGCGACCGCGGACGCGAGCGAATCGTTCGGTTTGCGAAGTCTGACCCCTGAACTTATTCTCCTGGTTCGTTTTGAATGGCACAGCTCTACTGAAGATTTGCTTGTTTCCGGATCTGTTTACAGAGGAATATAAATATCACATTATCAGATTTATCACAGTTTAATAATGGCACTGAATGTCAGAATGTCAGAATTCAATACAACGTATGCAAAGTAATAGTGATTAGAAACTTTTGTAAGGGTTTAAAATGCCCTTCGGATCGAACACCGCTTTGAGCCGACGCACCAAATCCCTTTCTGCTGGCGACTTCCCAAGGGTGGCGTACGGCCGTTTCAGTTGTCCGATACCGTGTTCAGCCGAAATTGAACCACCATGTGCATTCACCCATTCGTACAAGAACGGATAGATACTGTAAAGGTTGTATTAATTCCTAGTGAAATCATTTTGTCCGCTGGGAGCATTCAAATTACGAAAGCTTTTACTGTAGGTAATCACAAAATCGCGGTAGCAGCAGAAGCCCAAAACTTAATTAGGATTACTGTACAGCTCAATCCATGCTTTAAATACCCTACTTCCCACCTATGAATCACCAAATCCGTACCATTCATGCTCCCAAACTGCTTCAACTTCGTCAAGTTCGCGTGTTGGTCTCAAAACCTTTATCGTACGCCCGCCCTTACTCAAGTAACTCCTCACACTCTCGAGTAGAAACGGGCTGCCTTTTTTGCTACCTAATCACTCTCTTTCTCATACTACTCTTTAATGTCAAAATCATGCTCTACTGACGGATCTCCGAAATAAGCCAAGCACTCTTTTCATAGGTGCTTCTTTAGTGTAAATGGTAGCACAATTGTTCTGCGGGTTCAAGTCTCGCCTAGGGCGGTGTTTTGCCTATAGCTGAGCATGTACGTGATAAGCCAAACACATTGCCGATGCAGGTACATCAAGAGCCGCTGAGGCCACGGCCTCAGTAAATTCACCTGCATAAACTTTTGGTCTGTCTCCTTCGCAACATATTTCAAGATGACTGTTGCCATCCTAAGGTGACCGATATGCACTATGCTGTTGTATTGAAAACACCTCGTTCTGATTTCCTTGAGAAATGCAAGGGTCATTCGCTGAATGATGTGTTCCCCGTCTTCTTCAGCCTTCTCGTGATGAAGTGGTACCAGCGAGCAGAACTCACCTCGGTCAAACGATAGAAGTTCTTCAGTGGAAGGGATACATCGTTCTTGTAGACAAAACCATCGGCTGCCACCGCTAACGGTGCACTTTCCCGTAGACGCCACATTGTTGACGATTCCTCAATTGACTGGGCCTGAAGGATGGGTCAAGTAGTCGCAGTCGTAATGTACCAGGTAAATTAGTGCACGACCAAATCAACCGCATAAGCTCATTGATTGTATGGCCTTGAAAATCGGGGAGTCACCAGCTTTCTCTCACAAACATGAAGGGATGATATCCCGAATTGGGAGGGATTTAGTCTATGGCTACAGGTAGTTGGGAGCGTCACGTACCACAACCCAGGGCTTTCACCTAAGAGAGTTTTCATGAGCAGAATGTGAGCAGTGGGAGTCAAAAATCACTTTGTAGGCGCCAAACGGGTCTTGGTGAAGTCAAAGTACCATCAAAAAAGATCTCAACAGAGCCACCCTGTTGTTGGCAGTAATTCTGAGTGCTATGGAGCTACAGTGAGGACAGCAATTGGCGCTGGATCGAGGGAGGGGCCGATGAGGGTGAAGGTGGGCGAGATTACGAGATCTGACACCGATATATTCCATCACGCCAAATTCCAAGGTCCCTTGGGCTCGCGAGACGGGGGGGAGAGGGGAGGGAACCACGAGAGCAGCATTGCGCAAAGGGCGCACTTGGAAACAAGTCCTTTTGCTTGCGTGAGGATTCAATCACTTACCAGTCAAGAAATGTGCCTCTAAGTGCTTAAGCCCATGACATAGGCGATCATGAAACAGTGCTATGAGAAAAGGAGCAGATCGCCCCCACCCACCTGAACACCATCAGAAGCTGACCGCTAACGTACAGTCGTCAAGAACTGTTCATTTTCTCAAGAATTTCGTGAACTGCATTTTGAACCTGAAAGATAGTCGAACCACATGTGCGGAGACGGGAACAGCAGTATGGCACTAATGAGGCTTAAAACACTCAGAAGGCTCACCTGAAGTTTCTACGAGTATAGTGAACCGAGGATTCGATTGCAGCACAGGCTTCAGTCCAAGCGCTTCGTCAAGAACAACCATCGTTTCACGATCGAGAAATTCAAACGACGAGAGAATTTCTGACAGATGACGCTTGGCCAGGCGAAGCACATCGCAACAGGATTCAAAAGTATCCACTCCTAAAAGGAATTGGCGAAGGTTGAGCCAATCATGAAATTCAGAGGATAGAGCTCACCTAACATGGCGCTCTGTACCGATGCCGGCTTCGGCGCAGCACTCATCACAACCCGGGTTATGACACCGAGTTGGCCCTCACTTCCAAGGAAAAGGTGAGGCGTGTGTAAAGAAGTGTTATCTTTGCGGTGAGCCGAACCCAACTCCACGATTGTTCCCTCTTCTGTAGGCAAAACCTAGATGAGCAAACATGATTTGTGAGTCGCTCTAGAGGGGGAAGAGTAAAAGTTACCGCAGTCACTCCCATAAGATGCGCATGGAGGCTACCGTACCGGAGCAGCCGTATACCACCGGCACTGGTTGCCACATTACCACCAATCATGCACGAGCCTTTCGCACCAAGGTCGTACGGCATCATGTAGCTGAAAATAGAGCCCTGCCCGAATCCCGAAATATCCAAACAAGTCCTATAATTTTTTAATCTTTTCAAACTGCCGAAATAATATTGGTGCACGTGGTATTGTGATAGTTAAAAGCTCATTCCACATAAGAAGGTGGGGCAGTGGGGTTCAACTATGAAACAATAGGTACTATGTGAGGCGACCATGGAAAAAGCAGCCGAGGTAACTGTCGAGAACTCCCTAAATAAGACCCTCTGTTTGTACTAGATTTTGGTATTGTACGAGTCTATGGCAAAGAGTACGTGTCGAGGTGTGGTGGGAGGGGGGAATAGATATTTTTAGGGCCTAATACCGTCACTCTGGGGTCGGTCGACCCTAAAACAAGTCCTCTTCGCGAGGGTGCAATAATTTCGCCAGAAGTTTCAATGCGGTTGAGAGGTGAATGGGCAAAGCAACAGAGCCTTGTATTCGCCCAACCGAAACACTCAGTTCACCTCTAAATAAGTTTCATACTCACTCAGCAGAGCAAGTAGTATTGAAAGGCTTACCCGTGAAGACCAACTCGATTGTCGAGCTCTTCGAGGATCATTCCTGCATCGCAGCTCACTATTCCTAGAAAATTATATTACCTCACAAGGACTGCGAGTAGCTTGTTACATTGTTGAATCGAGCATTCAGTCACGGCTCGTCTTGTCCATTTCGGGACATATGCCTGCTTACAAATTATAGTAAGCAGTTACCTGATATTTCATCGAATTCGAAGTGCTTGTTGATACGTTTCACTGATAAGACAACCTCGTCGTAGAGCGGGACGGAACCGCCAACTAGGCCTGTATTGCCAGCCTGAATACGGAAGTAATTAGTAATTATAGGAAAAAGGTACTCAGAGAAAGAGCAAAGGCAATTATGTTCCCCTGCACTAGAAATCAACTCTCTTCAATGAATGGCTATCCATATTTGTGGATTTGAGGTATCAACAAAATCCTTAGCTATAGATAGATGGCCTAGTCAACAGTCACGCTTAGCGAAAAAAGGTGAGTCAACCCGCCAAAGTACTTCTCTTCTAATTTCTATTTTCTTTCTATTCTATTTCTTTCTACTTTCTACTTCTAATTTCATGAGACTACTTTTGTTTGCTCGGAATGCTAGCGCTCTGTAGACTCCGAAAGACAATAAACCTCAATAATGGATTACTGCATCTATCTCTTTCCATGCTAACAGTAAGGAAGGAGCGGCAGAGGTAAGGGAATACAATACCGCCACTAACTTTTGAAATTTCTCCGCTGAGCGACGGATTTGCAGCGTCGCAAAGCGTCGCCCCTTCATAACTCCCCCCAAAGCGGGTCAAATGATTGGTGCTCTACACCATTGGACTCGTCTCTCTGTGGCGAGTCTAACCATGTGGAAAACTACGGTACTCGCCGTAAAAAATCGAAAAAAACACGCGAAAAACGCGAATTCGCGTTTCTTTTTCGTTTTTTCGTTATAACTCGCTTCAGAATTAAGATTTTCGAAATCTGAAAAAAAGCATTGAACTCAGCTCGTCGAGTTCTATAAGAATATGCTTTTAAACTTTTGGAAAGCCCTACTTCAGATTGCGCCATGCACTCGAGCTTTGGCTCGAGAAAAAATTGTTTGAATGTGGTGCGCATATAATCCCGCTTATGCATCATGATCGTTCTTCAGAGAGATGGGTCTCAGCAGTTGCCCCAGAACGCGCCGCGTATTCAACATCGTCCATTGTATTGTGAATGGATCGATTGCTTTTTTCCAGATGGTCCCTATTCCATAGCGGCGCGTTAAATGACTTAACACGTACATGACTGCGCTCAACATCTCCTCCTCTCGTGTTCAAATGGAAATCATAGATCATTTTTCAGCAGGACAGTTAGCCTATTTGGTGAAATTTTCCAATGTTTGAGCGAAGGTTTTTCCGAAATCTGAGGAGGTAGCGGGGAAATTTCTTCACAGTTGTAGAGTACGCTTACTTGTGTGTAGGAATAAGATCACACACTTGCTTGCAGATGACCGCTCCCTGCGTGCTGTGGCCATGAACATGCCTCCTCGTCATGCCCTAGCCTATTTGGTGAAATTTTCCAATGTTTGAGCGAAGGTTTTTCCGAAAACTGAGGAGGTAGAGGGAAAATCTCTTTACTGTTGTAGAGTACGCTTACTTGAGTGTAGAAATAAGATGACATACTTGCTTGTAGACGAGCGCTTCCGCCGTGCTGTGGCTGTGAAAATGCCCCTCGTCATGCCCTTGTGGAAAGATCAGATTTTTTGCATTTCCAGATGAACTCGCAGACCTGAGATGTGCCCCATTGGATTCCCCGTGAAAAATGCTATCGAATGATATGCATTACTCCTCCCAGTTGAAACTTTGGTTTTTCACCGTTTTCAGCCTTCCCCTATTGCCGATTGGGCATCATTATTCCACTATTACTGCCCCAAAATCTCAAAGTTTCATTTTTCGTCGAAACTTTGCCTATTGGGGTAATTCGATGCCCTGATTACGAATATGACATTCATTCTCGTAGTGTGGCCCCAAACATCACACCTCGCCCCATTTTTTGCGACATGTTCCATGTTTAGAGCAGATGTTATGTAGAAAGCTGTGAAGGCAGCGACGAATTTCCTTCTACTGTCGTAGACTACGGTTACTTGTCTGTAGGAATTACATAGAAACCTTGGTGGCAGGTGAGTCTTCCTTCCGTAGTGTGACCCCAAACATCACATCCATTCACAATACAATGGACGATGTTGAATACGCGGCGCGTTCTGGAGCAACTACTGAGACCCATCTCTCTGAAGAACGATCATGATGCATAAGCGGGATTATATGCGCACCACATTCAAACAATTTTTTCTCGAGCCAAAGCTCGAGTGCATGGCGCAATCTGAAGTAGGGCTTTCCAAAAGTTTAAAAGCATATTCTTATAGAACTCGACGAGCTGAGTTCAATGCTTTTTTCAGATTTCGAAAATCTTAATTCTGAAGCGAGTTATAACGAAAAAACGAAAAAAACGCGAATTCGCGTTTTTCGCGTGTTTTTTTCGATTTTTTACGGCGAGTACCGTAGTTTTCCACATGGTTAGACTCGCCACAGAGAGACGAGTCCAATGGTGTAGAGCACCAATCATTTGACCCGCTTTGGGGGGAGTTATGAAGGGGCGACGCTTTGCGACGCTGCAAATCCGTCGCTCAGCGGAGAAATTTCAAAAGTTAGTGGCGGTATTGTATATGAGGTAACGGTGTTCGTGCAAGCTACTTGAATCGTGTACATAAGAACCCTTAATCCTTCAGAACCCGTCGGATCAGAGTGGAAGTGACTCTCCCTGTAGGGATTATTGAGGTACTGATCGAATTCTGCAAATAATTCTAACAAATCCGGTGAAAAAAGCGTGGCGTTGGAGTGGCACAAAATGGCACCAGGTCTGAAAAAATTTCTACTCGCGTGAGGGCGCAAAA